GATTTTCTATTAGCTTCAAATCTTGATCAATGTTTGGCACCCAATTCATAGGGGTGCTAATTATATTGATTTTCTGTCATCTTGTTTTCTGTAAAGATTTTAGGTTTGCAAATGTGTATCAGACTGTGCAAAAACTCTCTCCACGAGTTGGTTTTGAAACCCAGTATAGTATTCCCATGGATTTTAGGGGATACATTACCAAGGATATGATTACAAGATAAATGATTTGCTTCATTGAACACAGACAACAATGCATATTTCCACTGAGATCAGTGACCTGTGAATGTGTATCACCAGTGATCAGTCAAGTAGAAACAGTCAAAATACTTTATCAGATTTTCTCAATTTTTGCATGATATTTTCATACAGGACATCTGTCGTTCATACTCAGGGAAGACTTTATACTGAAGAATAAGGTGACCAAGTTTGATAAAGTTTGGAATAGAATTAGTAAAGTTATTGTGCACATAATAACAATTATTAACGACAACGCCGGACAGAAATTGTTCCCTTAATATACCTCCTCTTCCATTTTTGATGTTACGGGCAAGGTAAAAACATTTATAATGTATCCAGTTTCAAAACACATTGGACAACATACGATCTTAGGCAAACTGACGCCTTGAATCATAAACCAATATTTGTAACTCACGATTCCAGCAAAAAATGCCCTAAAGGAAATGTGTTCAAAAAATGAATGAAATTAAAATCACCCAAGAAAAAAATGTTTTTGAAATATTCATAAATTTCGTCGATCTATTCAACCATTCAGAGTTATCATGTGAATGACGGTCCGTATATTCGAATACACAACCTACAATTAAATAATGCTTTTCCTAAGTCTCCCTGTCTTTTGGGCGTCTGGTCTATACTAATGCCATTTATCGGGTTTTACACCTGGACCTTTTGCAATTGACATCTTTTGTTCAAGGTAAGACGGACAGATCATTACTGTTCATAATTTGTATGAATTGTTGAGAACATTGCATAATAATGGAATGTCCCTTTCAACGGAAGATCCAACTTGACCTCGACCGGTCAAATACCAATCAAATTGGATACAATTGGATACAAAGCATGGTCGCCGATACGCGGTTTAATTCTTGCTATAATTTTTGTTGAATTTGTTGCTTGGCTAGAAAAATCTTGATTAAGAAATCTTACAGCGCCACGATTGATATTGTAGTTGCTTTCGCTCAAACTCTGCCTGGGGCCCACTTACAATAGGGGTGTTGTTTTACAGGGTGTTGTTTTTGGTATTAAGGTAGAGATGCAGTTTACCTGACAGCTATTTTAATTAGTTAATTAGGAAACCAAGATGACCTCCCTTGTCCACAAAACTATATATTTTCGGAAAGGTTCATTGTATGAATTTTAAAGTTTTGTTAGTATTTTATTTTTATGGACACTGTAGTTTGAAATATGCACAAAAATGTGCTTTTTTGGTCAAAAGTGATTTAAAAAAAATTAGCTTCTAAACAATGCTTCTGTTTCCTGTCAAAATTGGTTTATGGGTACATCTGTTTACTATGAAGAAAACTGTCTACCAGTTGTCAATTGTGTAGGGCAGCAGCTCAAATTTCACTACTTCAAGTTTATGCATAAATTAACACCCAGGCTAGTTGTCTGTACGATTGCTGTAACACTATTCAAATAAAAAGAATGCCCCGAAGATAAACACATTGTCAATCATTTGTGAAAATTTAAAAACAAAAGGTCAAAGCGTCTAGGAGCTATTTTTTTTTAAAAGTTCTGGAATGTGCACTAAAAAAAGCTGAGATAATTGCTAATTTGCATAACAATTCACTCAGTAAGAAGTTTGCTAATGCTCATAATTAAAATGGCTCACTCCCCCAAGTGCCCACGAACCTGCATCTCTACCTTAACAAATTTGTTTTCATAAATGTAAAAATCACAGGGCCCAACGATTAACCCATATATAGTTACTAGTGTGTCTTAGGTAATCGAAATTACAACCACATATACGAACATATAAACACGAAAGAAAAGATTCGAAATAACAACTCGGCTAATATTCCTAGTCACTGTAAGCAGAGGTGATTCACGTTACGACACATCGCACTACCCCAAATATGACAGCTTGGTATAGTGTGTGGTGAATGCTCTTTTGCTAGTTGGAATGCCCAATGTAGAATTTAATTCTACACACAAAAAATGCCTAGTATTGTCATGGTCAGAACGACCTACCCGGGG